TTACATATTTTGCTTATCAAGTAAATTTATCTTGTTTTAAGGATGTACGTATATTATTCTTGGATTTTTTCCCCCCAGTGATTCTATCAGAGGCATTGGAGGGGGAAAAAATGAAGTTAAACCACACTTAAACTGGGATAAATATGTGAATGCATGTGTGGGAGAGAAAGTGGGTATATTAGCAAACACCCACAAGCTGGTATGCAGCACAGCTGCGCCTCAGACTAAACTCACAGACACATTTATAACTGATGCTGCTCTTTCTCGGCCTCCCCAGGTTTGCAAGCAGCTCTTTAGACTCAAACAATGTCCTGTAATGGACGCACAAGGTGGGCTTCTCTCTGAGAACCACAGACCTGGGTGTCTCTCTAGGAATGCTTGCTTTATTTATGTCCTTTGGGAGGTTTTGCAGGTCTGGTTCAAGGGAAGAGCTTCCACAGTGTTTAACCAAGCAGACCCCACTTGTTTAGGATGAGAGTGGAGAGAGAAGCCAGCCTGGTATTATTTAGGCTTATGTTAGAAAAAAAGTTTGAATCTTTAGTCTTGTCTGTATTTCATCAAGCAAGTCTCCTTGAATTGCACTTTTTGGTTTGCCTTTGGCTCTTGCTCTACCACACGAAAGGCAGAACTCACAAGCAGAGAGATCAAACAGATCAATAGCTACAAATCAACAGACTATGAAAAATGAACATTGTCTTGGTTGAACTGTTCGGAAAGTCACCGCCTCCAAACTAAATGTTCATATTGACGAGTGATTTACACCGGTGTGCTTTTCCATGGATGAGAGCGATTCCTTCAGACTGGCTGAAGCAACAAAAGAGTTTTATGTTCTTCAACTTTGAACTCTAAAGCATCCTAGAACCAAGAGCCATTCACGAAAGCCACTTCTCCCTAATGAAAGCTCACCGAGCAACCTGTCCGATCTGTTTGGACTCAAAACATTAGCGGACCTGACAGAGCAAAGTCAGGGAAACATTTATTCCTGCAAGGCTATAAAAATACAGCCAGCGTTTTTGTTATTTTCCATATCTTCGGAGGCCAGGTGGTTTTGTTTGATGAAAAAACAGTAGTTGCGTTTCAATGGGAGCCCATGAGAGGGACTGGGGCCCAATGTGGTCTGCGGAGAGAGTATGTGTGATTGCTCTAAACTTGTGTGTGCATTATTTTTCTGGCATGCTACTTTAGATCCAGAGTGATTTGAGGGTGGAGGGCCGTGGTGGTTTTCCAGTCCTCTAATAAGAATGAGCTACTGCAGACATTAGTTCTTTCCCTCCTGTAGAAACAGATGAGATACTTACCACTCAAACACCCATGACTCAGTTTGATATGTGTAATTTGAATTTCAGCACAACGATAGTCTCGATACCACTTCGAGAAACAATAAATTACCATATATGTTTTGACTCATCTGTGCACAGGAAGGACATAAAACATAAAGCCATTGCAAAGTTACTGATTTAGATTCTCTAAGTAGCAGTGTGTGTCACTCCTCATTTCCAGTCCTCGACTTGCTAAAAATTAACCCCCGGGCCCTCTCTGCACTCAACCTGTAAATGTCTTTGCAGGGCTGTAGAAAATAAAAAGATTACAGAAAACACAGGAGAGCCTCAAGCTCTGTGATGACAGACAGAAAAGATACGTGCTTGTAGAACATGAAGGGAGGTTGGTTAGGACTGAGAAGTGTTAGGAAAACATTTATACTGCGTCCTAACCAGGCGTGATGTGACAAAAGCGACACATGTTAAAAGTAGGGTTGCCCTCGACTAAAGATTTTTCTAGTCGACTAGTAGTTGTTAATTTTTATCAATTAGTCGATTAATCGCACGTTTATATTAATAAACATTATAATTCAAAATAATGAGCCTTTAATGGCCTATAGCCTATCAGCGCTCAAGCACATGCATAAAGCTTGTCACAGCGCACTGCAGAAGTAATGATTATGAATGCGTCAGGGAAAAAAACATCAAGAAGACTGCCTTAATATTATAATAATTTATTGATAAACTAGTGTTTTCTGTATTTTTTTGGCTGCAGTGATGAAATCGACGACACTGACTCATCATCTCCCCAGAGGATGTGCATGTTTTATACTGATTACATAATCTGAAAATATGTTTTCCATTTAAATTGGTTCTTTTAAAAGTAGACATTTCGCTTTCTATAGATATATGTAATAATCTATAAATATGAATAATTAACCATAACTAGTTATAATTAATTATTCATATTTTAGATCCGCTGTAGATATTTAGCTGACCTCTCAGGGTCAACTGTCTGTCAATTCTAAGAACGTTAGTTTCCTGGTTAAGGGAAATAACTTTCTTACTGTACAATTCTACAAAAGCTTGTAGTATAAATCTGCATGATTAAGTGACTCCAGTTATGAGCAAACAATGAACAATGTCAAGAGTGATACAAGTAAGGTTTTATTAACTACATAAACACTTAAACTAGTCTAACATACTACATAAACACATAAACTGGTCTAACATCCTACATAAACACATAAACTGGTCTAACATACACATACACACACACACACATACAGTTGGTATAGGAAAGGGTTAAAGCTTAACTCAGTACAGAAAGAGAAATAAGGTCTATGAAGTTATAGAACTATTTGCATATTCAGCAGATCTACACCTGAGTGAAACGTCAGATTCCTAGTTCAAACACACCTTTGTAAAAAGGTGTCACTGATACTTAATGTATCAATTAATAAGACTAAGTTTGATACTTGCAAGTCTCATCTGTCTGAAAATAGATTCCTGATGCAATCTTAAGGCCCAAGATCTTGCTGAAGTTGGTTGATGAGAAAGAACCAGTGTGCATCAGAGTAACTTGATGAATGGAAAGGACAAGGCCGAAGCCTGGCACGAGCTTAAGATGTTCTGGAGCGTTGGAGCGTCTTATCGAAACCTAACAGAACCACCGACTGGGTGGGTCCCTGGAGAGTGCGCTACTATTCAGCTTTCACACTGTGCACAAACACTTGAATAGCACACATTTTTCTAGGTTAACGTTAGAGCGAGCGGCCATGTAATGTTGCTACTACTTACATGTTTCAGATGATAAGCCATTTGAGGTCGATAAACAAAACAAGTTTGGATGTCCGATGTACTGTAATTACCACACAGACCAGCTGTTAATAATCTGTCCGTCACGGACTTTGTGACTTCGCCACTTCCTGTGCAAATTTTTTTTTCTGCGACTAAGCAACAAATAAAATTTTGATCGACTAAGCCTCATTTCGTCGACTAACGGTTAGTCGACTATTAGGGGGAAGCCCTATTTAAAAGCTATGCTAATTAGTTTGTGTCCAAACCAGCCGTGACGAGCAAAGAGAGAAACATTTAATCAGTAACTTGGTTTTTAAGTTTATACATTAATAATTTTCAGCCAGATAGCTGAACCCTCACAGGAAATTCATTGGATAACAATCATACTCCTCATGAATATTAAAGTGTTCGATCATCAATTCTATCATCAATTACTCACACTCAAGTGATTCATTCATCTTTGAAATAAAAGTGAAAATATTTTTAATGAAACCTGATAGATTTGTCCCTCCATTGAAAGTCTATTCCACCAAAACTTTGCTTCAAAAAGTTCATAAAGACATCATAAAAGAAATTCATATGAATCGATCGGTTTAATTCAAGTATTCTGAAATGGAAAACATTGATCAAAACACATGAATAGAGCATATCATATTAGGTCAATTAAAGCTTAGCTGTGCTTGCTTGATGCGCAAGAACAAATCTTAGTGGTTACTGCATGTCAAGCAAGTACAACTGAGCTTCTGTTTTGCCATATTTGATAAACTTTATTTATGCTATCCAGTTATGATCTCTTTATGAACTTTTTGAATCATCAAAGTTTTGGTTACAAGCACTTTCAATAGAGGGGCAGAAATAGCTCAGGTTGCATTTAAAATATATCTTCATTTGTGTTTTGAAGTCTTATGGGTTTGGAATAACATTAGGATAAGTAAATTATGTCAGAATTTTCATTTTTGGGTAAACTACACCTTTTAAACAAGGATGCCATCTTTTTTGATTAACCATAATTTTACAATTTTTTTAATTTGTCACATCTTGCATGGTTAGGATACAATATTGATGAAAAATATTCGGTAAGATCAGTTATTGTGTACTAACATTGTTAGAAAATGAATATTTGAGAAGCATTACCTCAAAAAAGATAAAAACTACTATCAAAGGACAGACTGTTTTGATCATTAATCTGATTAACACCGCTATCCCCGTCTTAAAGTACAATGTCCTACAATCTATGAGGCAGAAAGTGGTTCAAAATACAAGTCTGCTATCTTTACCTGACTATGAAGTCGAACTCTGACCCCGCCAGCATCAAGACTCCTAGCAGGGTGGAAAATGCTCCATCCAGCACTGGGGCAAACATGTGCTCAAGTGCTAGAACGGCTCGCTTGTTCCTGTCCCCGATGGCTGTGAGGAATGCCTGTGAGGAAAACACAGCAAATATGATCAATATAAATCACTCAGACCAATAAACACACTGAGTAATCATCACAATGAGTGAACCAGCTACAGTTTTGAAGTCTTATGGGTTTGGAATAACATTAGGATAAGTAAATTATGTCAGAATTTTCATTTTTGGGTAAACTACACCTTTTAAACAAGGATGCCATCTTTTTTGATTAACCATAATTTTAAATTTTTTTTAATTTGTCACATCTTGCATGGTTAGGATACAATACTGATGAAAAATATTCGGTAAGATCAGTTATTGTGTACTAACATTGTTAGAAAATGAATATTTGAGAAGCATTAAGCATCAAAAAAGATAAAAACTACTATCAAAGGACAGACTGTTTTGATCATTAATCTGATTAACACCGCTATCCCCGTCTTAAAGTACAATGTCCTACAATCTATGAGGCAGAAAGTGGTTCAAAATACAAGTCTGCTATCTTTACCTGACTATGAAGTCGAACTCTGACCCCGCCAGCATCAAGACTCCTAGCAGGGTGGAAAATGCTCCATCCAGCACTGGGCGGCGCACACCAGGAAGGTGCAGGCCAGCACGACGCTGATGGACAGCAGGAGCCAGTGGCGCAAGCCTACATACTGCTCCCAGAAGAGGAAGGGGTAGCCGTTGGGGTAGCTGGGCAGGCCCTGATAACTGTAGTTGCTGCAGATGGAGCGGACACTCTCGATGGCCTCCACGAACTGTGGTGTCTCGCGAAGCCCGTTGAGGTAGAAGGGAAACTGTGCATATTCGATGTGCTCAGCGGCAGGAACTGCAGAAGATTAATGCAAAGATGGCCATAGAAATGAGATAATTATTAGTAAATTTCACTTTTACAACAAGCCATATAATGTAAACAACAACCCATGAAAATTCTGGAGGTAGCTGAAACTTTACCGTAAAAACATTATCTTCATTAACTGATTTAATGTGAATATACCAATCTACTAAATTACTACAATTCACTTTGTACTTTTATAGTACACTGACAACCACCCAACACCACAAACTGTAATGAGAAATCCACAATGAATCAAAGTTCATCACAAGTAATCATCTTCACATATTGCACTAAACATTAATTCAAAATAAGATGTAACACAAAGCCCTAATGTACATAACTGATAAGAAAAACTAAAATGAAAAAGTTATTTCAATGAAAAAACAAATATGCAGTGTCACACAGGAAATTCACTTCCAAAAAATGCTAATTTAACAGTATTTTACTGTGAAATGACATTAGATGTATTACAGTATTTTTTTTACCGTATATAGTAAGGGAACAGTCTTCACCGGGCTGGAGTCAAATAATGACGCGGGTATAATTTAAACTACTTAGTCCGCACTAACAGTAGCTGATGTTCAGTTTGCATACTGCTGCTTTCCTTCTAGTCACTACTGAACTCTTCCCTCTCTTAAAGCTCCAGGTGAAGGGTTGCCAGTTATCACAAAAAGAGCAAAACAAGCCCCTTAAAAATGCAGTATAATAAGCAAACATGGCAAAACTGTGCCCGGGCACAAATTTAAACAATATAAAGTATTTATAATATCCTATAAAATGAAAAGGAAATAAATGTAATTATAAAATATTTAGATATTATAAACTGATCGAAGTTAAACAATAAAATTAGATTTAAAAATAATTCAGAAACACCTTAAAGTTTAATTGCATCTTAATATCAGTCAGCTGGTGCCAGTTAATCTAAAAGTTAAGTGTATTTTTACTACATGAATAATTTACCAAATAAAAGGAAAAGAAAAATCAAACAAGGTGAAGTACTTTTCATTTCTAAAGCATTTGAGTTTATTTATTATATAAAGCCCTTTTGTCGATTTTCAGAATAACTACATATATACATAACTATATAGTGAAATATATTGTTACCGTGAAATAAAATTAGTCATACCTTGAAACTGAATTTTGGTCATACCGCCCACCTCTAGACTGCACTTATTAAACATGTCGATTTCTTTACTGCCCCAGGAAGAAAAGGAGGCTAAATTACCAGCTATCAAATCTCAACATGCAGCCGAGTGTCAATCCTGACTGATCTGCTGTAATTATGCTGTCAAAAATCTGTGCTGAAATATCTCCCTGCTCCCCTCCGGAACGAACACACACGCACAGACGGAAGACCATCAAGCATTTGAGCAATGCCAAATTCATGCTGACATTTATCACCTGTCATCAAAGCTTGTGTGCACTGCAGGGCTTTCAGCAGCAGGCCTGGAATGACTCATCACTCCGGCTACTGGACTTGGATAAGCGGCAGTCTTAAAACCACAAATAAAATCAGAAGAATGTGACCCAGAATGACTAGCGCTCTGGAGGTGTGTGTGAGAGTGTCTGTGAAGGGCGTGTGGGTGGAAGGGAGGGAATATCTGAGTGTGTGTTCCAGTGCCTGAAGGGGTCAGGAAGGACCACTTGCTAAACATGCTTTTGCCCCGTTATAATCTCTACTATAAATTTCCATCAGGACGGGAGTTGGATGTCTGCCAGCCTGCTGCGGGGGATCTGAGTCGGAGAGGCCGTTTCAGCTTGTTATCCAGTCACATTTCCCCCGAGCGCCCACTGTGTACTGCACACACACAATATACACAAGCTCGTGCAGCCCGGTGTCGCTGTTAACTTTAAAAATACAACTACAAATTGAATAAACCCAGTTTCGCTGTCTAAACTTAGTAAACGACACACAAGTCATTCAGTTTTGGAAAAGCTCAGTTGACTAGCATCAACCGAATGTCAAACTCCATATGTGACCTTGGAGCACAAAACCAGTCTTAAGTCGCTGGGGTATATTTGTAGCAATAGCCAAAAATACGTTGTATGGGTCAAAATTATTGGGAATCATTAGGACATTAAGTAAAAAATCATGTTCCATGAAGATATTTAGTAAATTTCCTACTGTAACTATATCAAACCGTAATCTTTGATTGGTAATATGCATGGCTAAGAACTTAATTTGGACAACTTTAAAGGCGATTTTCTCAATATATATATATTTTTTTGCACCCTCAGATTCCAGATTTTCAAATAGTTGTATCTCGGCCAAATATTGTTCTATCCTAACAAAACACACAGCAATAGAAAGCTTATTTATTCAGCTTTTTTTTTGAAAAATTGACCCTTATGACTGGTTTTGTGGTCCATAGTCACATATTAAGAAAGTTAACAGCATAGTCTTTCACATTCAATCATACACTCCTAGTGTTTAAAATGTATTTCTTTGTTTATTTGAAAAATGGACTGATGAATTGTTTCTGATGAATTATTTTATATTTATTTATAATATAAAATTATAATCAAAAACATTATAAAAACAAAAAAGTTATTAATTAATGCATTAAAAATAAAACTAAAAACTAAACTAAAATGGCTGATGTCACCCTGATGTCTTATTTGGTAAGATAACATAAATCTGTCCTATATTTTATTATTTAATATCCTGTTCTAATCTGAAATATGTAACATTACAGAAGTAAAATGCTCTGTAAATGCCATTACATGCTGACATCATCGCTTAATGCACAAAAAATGTATATCCTACCAAATAAGGCCTAAATACAATAAAATTCCCAAAATTTTATTCACAGGTTTAGGATGTCTAAACTTCCAAACCACCAATGCAAACTAAGCATAACCAAACCAATTAATGCATTAATGCCCTCTGCTGCTATTTGGGATGAAACTGATGTGCTCACAAAGCAAAGGAGCTAAAGATAACAGGATACGATCAAAAACGTAGCATATTACATTGAAGACTTGGTGATAAATGAACCAGAAAGCACTCACTGTTGAGTCTGCTGACAGGAATGGAGTCTGTCCTGTCATGGAGCCACTCAGGAGGGTGCGGACGGATGCTGGCCTGGGATGCAGCGTAAGCCACTGGGTCATTGCTCACCCAGGCAGTTAAATAAACGTAGAAGGCATTTGGGTTGATGATTCCATCGGCGCTCACCAAACGCTGTCTAGTTAGCTGGTGATAAAAAGAAAATGTAAAATTAGAAACTACTCAAACAATACGGTTCGTTTGCTAAAATTAATAAGTATGTACACCAATGTATGTACTATATAAGTGAGTATTGTGAATGCCCACCAGCGCTGCAGTAATCTCTAAATGCTTCACTTCTTGCCAAGCACTTAGCTAGCTACCTCCTGTGAAGGCAAAGTCATTACGGCATCACACTCAATGCCATACATGCTTCTCGAGAAAATAAATCTACAGTCTCCCAGTCAGGAGTTGGGGGTCAGTGTGTGTTAGAGTGTGTGTGTGTGTGTGTGTTTGGGGAGGGGGTCAGGGTGTGTGGTAGAAATGAGAGTGAGTGAGAGAAAAATTGCTTGAGTTAGTGTAACAATAAAAAAATTGGCCGGAGTCCCTGAGCGCGTCTGTGTGCAGTTAACCTTGCTGTTAACACAGGAGGAAATGCCACCCAGCAAATGGAGGAGAGCTATAAAAATAAAACAACATCTGTACAAATGTTGCAAACACTTGCTTCTCCTGACCCCTATAGATACCCACAATGCCCGGCGCCACATTCGGCTTCTGCCGTTAAGGCAATATAGGGTTTTAGATAGTACAATGACTTGAAATAACACTCAACACTTGAAAAAAAAAAATGTCTAAATGAAATAATGAATATCGTGAGATGCTAAACTATACTGATTTTCGATTGAAAATAAATAAATAAATAGGTGTGGGGAAAAAATACTTTATAACTGTACTGGTATTCAATGTAACGATAAAAAATATCAGAAAATCATGAGATGTTAAACTACTGATTTTCAATAAAAAAAAAAAAGATAAATAAAAAAAGACATTTAACTGTACTTGTTTTTAATTTAATAATAAAAAATAAAAAAAGAACAGATGATCACAAATTCTGAGGTGTTAAACTATTTACTGTCAATTGAATAAAAATAAATAAAAATTGTTAAATACATAAAATTATTAGATGAACAAAAAAATTACGAGACACTGAACATTATTCGATTTTAATTTAATAAGAAATTAAAAAATAAATGAAAAATAAATGAGAAAAATCCTGAGATGTTTAACTGTATTCATTTTCTATGTAATATATTTCAATAATAATAAATAATTATTTTATTGTCAGATGAGAGAGAGAGAGAGAAAAAAAAGAAAGTCCTCAAGGAAAAAGCCGTATGACTTTTATGGTGACCAGAATGAGAGAAGCAGCATGTGATTCCCGCCTCTGTATCCAGTGAAAGGGGACATGGCAGCAGTTCCAAGAGAAGGGAATAAGCGAGAGGCGGGAGAGAAAAAAGCGGACTTGGATTCCAAAGATCTGGATTCCATTAAGCAGCAGGATGCGCAACAACTGTATGTCTTCAAGCTGTCACGGGAAGCACACAGTGTGAAGCTGGCGGCCTCCTGGCCCACTGCCGCCCCTCTTCCCTCACAGGCAGAGGAAATGACATCACAGGGCCGCACACCAACACAGATCGGCTGGCTTTTCTTTTCCACTCTACTGGCAATGGTTCAGCACAATAATGACCACTTGAAAACAACAAAAATGCAAATCATTTCTGGGCTCATGTGCATTGCCAATTACCCGAAAAGACGACTCACTCTCAAACACACGCAATCTCTCGCAGCCGTCTGCTCCACTCCTCCTCACCCTCCAGCACCTCTGGCATGTGGTATGCTTTATATTTTTCATATTTTTGCTCTCCTCTTGCCTGTCATTTCATGCTGGGTAGCAACTGGAAACTGTTAATGTGTTAACCTGTTAGATTTTTGTCAGTGTGACGTGTGTGTGTGTGTGTGTGTGTGTCTGTGCAGGGGTTTCTTCTTGACAAGACCCCTCTGAATGAGTCCTGAAAAGGTTGTATAGGCTGAGCTTTAGGCCTGCAGCAAGAAAGTGGAACAAATGTTTTAAATGCAGAGTTAATTGCTTTTTCAGAAGCAAGTTGCGGCCCCATTGAGAGCTTTAAATTCCTGCGCTTGGTAAAGCAATCAGAGAGAAAGAGAGAGAGAGAATGAGAACAGACATAGATGGACATTCAGAAGCCAGGTGTGGTTCCTAAGTGTGGTTATAAACCCTGACACTGATGCTAAAGACATATCTACCCAAGCACCCCTCCTTCATCGCCACACACAACCAGAGATTGCCATAAACATGCTGATCATGTGAACCAGGGAGGAACAGAAAAGATCAGGATACTTTAAAGGAGACATATTATGCACCTTTTTACAATATGTAATATAAGTCTCTGGTGTCCCCAGAATGTGTCTGTGAAGTTTCAGCTCAAAATACTCCACAGATCATTAATTATAACATTTTGAAAATGCCTATTTTGAGTGGAAGCAGAAACACGCTGTTTTTTGGACCTGTTTCTTTAAATGCAAATGAGCTGCTGCTCCCCGTCCCCTTTTCCAGAATAGAGCTGCGCCTTTACAGCTCGGACCTGCTAAAAAACATCTGTTTTGGTTCTTATTATCATGTTTATCGCGCTGAAATCATGCGTTTTAAATCATATTAGTTTAAACTTCTGATATACGGTTTTCTGAGTGCACACATCCAAAGCACACGGACAGAAAGCGGCTGTCACAGCATGTGATTTAATATACATTAAATAAATCAATAAATCCACTGCTCTCTTGTCTCCTCTGAGGCTGGGACTCTAAACAGTGTCTGTGCAGCCAAAGACAGAACAGTTAGCATGTTTTGCTCAAACTTTTGCCATGGTATTAGAGCTGGTACACCGTTGTCGCTTGCAAAAACACAATGACGGCGCCGTGGGTGGAAACTTACAGATTAAGGGGCGGTAATATTATAATGAGATCCCTTTGCCACGTCACCAAGGGAGTGAAATCAGACGCACTTGTTTTCTCAGATGCTTGCAGAAAAAGGCTTACCAAAACAAAGTTACTGGGTTAATCTTTTTCACGTTTCCTTGGTTGGTAGATGCACCGGGGACCTGATTATAGGTTACTTAAAACCTCGAAAATTCAGATTTTCATGATATGTCACCTTTAATCTATTATTATCATTATTATCATCAAAATAATATCCAAATTAATATAACATTAATAATGAATACTAATGTAATAATATTTCACAATCATAATTTAATCATTATTATTATTATTGTCAAAATCTAATTTTATAATACATATAAAAATGACAATAGCTAAAAAAATCTTAATAATAAATATTAATGAAATATTACACAGTAAGAATTAAGAAGCCATTATTATTATTATTATCATCAACAATTTCATAATCAATATAAAAATGACATTATTTTCAAAAATTATAAATCTTGTATATTATATGTAACATTACTAGAATACACAGTTGTGCAGTCGTGGCCTAATGGTTAGAGAGTCCGACTTGTAACCCACAGGTTGCAGGTTTGAGTTTCAGTACCGTCAGGCAGGTGGGGGAGTGAATAACCAGCAAGGCACCAAACCCCCAGCTGCCGCAACAAAAATGGCTGCCCACTGCTCTGGGTGTGTGTTCACGGTGTGTGTTTGTTCACTACTGTGTGTGTGCACTTGGATGGGTTAAATGCAGAGCACAAATTCCGAGTATGGGACACCATACTTGGCCACATCACTTTCACTGACGTGAAACTAAGCTAAAATAAAATAATCCATCTCTAACTGCGAATCATGGGATTCAATCCATGAAAACTGGAGTTGCATTGAAATACATCCGATTCTACTCAAGTGAGGTAGACTCAAGTCTAGTTGGTTTCTTACCAGGTTCATGTTGACTGGCTTGTCTCTGCGGCCGGTCTGCACCAGGAGTTTGTAGGCCAGGATGCCATCATCAGAGCCATTCCTGTAGTTCCCCTGAGTGATCCTACCGGTCTGCCAATCCTTATCGAACGCCTCCTGCAGACCTGCCAGGAAACACACATTATTTTGAGGATCTTGTTCAGTATATACATAAACCATGTTAACATCTCCTCAGTCATCCCTCAGCTCTATCTCTCTCCCCTCAATGCCAGTGGTCCGTTTCTTTCACATTGCTTTCTCTCTCTCTCTCGCATCACTGTCTGTGACCAATTTGTAGAGCCATTTCAAACCACAATATTAAAGACAGCTCTCTCCACCCTCTCTGGAACAGCCTTTGCTGAAGCCTTTACGCACATACATACACAAAGTGAACTCACACATAGAGATGCTGCCCCTGCACCGAAAAGGAAAACATGTGGTCCAATGAGAGTGCTGAAAGGATTAAATAAAGAAAGTAACTGGAAAACGCCAATGATGTTTGAGGTTCTGGTTGGCTGAGCTGACAGCGACAAAGCAAGTCTGTACATGCCACCTAAACTCCGTCTGGACAGAAGCCGTTTGGAGACAAGCAATGCCTTTTTAAAGAGGAGCTGTGAGAGAGAAAGTGGGCAAAACAAGGTTTGCTTTTGAATATGGCCCGCCCGGGATTAGATACGGCATTCTGAAAGAAGCCTCTATCAAGGAGGCCACAAGGAAAAATATGTTGCAGGGACATGCCCTGTATCTCCCAATCTTGTTTTTTTTCACTCTCACCTCAACTGCATTTTTTTGTCCCCACACTGTTTCGGTCTTTCTTTTTTCCACATTTTCACTCTCTATCTGTTTTTAATCTCTCCATTTAAGTCTCACTCTCGGATCATAATCCGTTTTAAGACATTAAATGTGTTACAGATTTGGAGGTTTAGCAGCGTGATTGATGTTTGTGAGAAACAGATGATCTGATGGTGGTAAAATTGAGGTAAAACTCGTCTCCAACAAAACGAGGCACTGTCTGGAAATCAATACAGTCTGTAAAAATGAAGCATTTTGTACAGCTCAAATGTTTTTGGACAAAATTAAATTGTTTATTGGCAAGAGATGTTGGGATTTTTGTTGCTGTTTTTGAAAGAAGTCAATTATTCTTTGTGATTTATTGAACTTTCTTTTGAATTATTTGATCAAATATACAGTAAAAACAGTAATATAGTGAAATATTATTACAATTTACAATGTTTTTATTTTAATATATTTTAAAATGTAATTTATTCCTGTGATGGCAAAGTTGAATATTTAATTTTCAAAAGATCATTCTAAATTTGGCGCCGAAAGTCTTGTGGGCAGCACATCGACATATAGCACCATTGCGCTTCAGGTGTCCTGAGTTCGATCCCAGCTCATGGACCGATGATCTCTTCCTGTCTAAACAGGAGTTTTTGGTCAGAATGAGCTAGAATCAATATGACCAGACCTTTTGCAGTTTAGTTAAAGGCTTGGCCCTTGGGTTTGTCCTCCAACAATGGTCTCTGATGCTGGACTGATTGATTACACATCTGAGTGTATTACCTTGCAGCCAGTCTCTGAAGTAATGAAGCCACATGTGTGGGAGCTGGCCGTCGTCCTCCCGCAGGACGTACTTCACAGTGCTGAAGCGTTGGTGCAGCTCATAGAGTTGAGGCTGGATCTGTGCATAGTCAGCTTTCTGGGTCACCACGTACATGTTGTAGAAGGAAAAGTAGCGGAATTGGGCACGGATGAAGTCGTATTCGCCCGTCTCTCGTGGCACAATGTCAGTCAGCTCTAAACCATCCCGGACACGGGTGGTGCCGTACAGACTCACCCCGAGCAGTGCCAAAAAGAGCAAAATCACCACCACCTGATAGGAAATGCACACAAAAAGACAGATATGAGTCAGGGTTTGGCTACTGAAGCTACTGCTCTTTTAGCATCTTATGACGCAGTTCTGCCCTGTTTGAGGTGTTCGTGGTTTTCAGAAGGCCTCGACTCACAAAATAACACTTACACAGCTCAAAAAGATACACTGGTGCTCATTAAACGCCAGAAGATTAGCTCATCGCTGGCATCTGAAATTCCACTTCCAATCGGACAACGTGTACAATTGCAAAACAACATTTTATTCTCACCTTCGTTGTAGGCTGCAGCAAAAATGGCGCATAGTGCTTCTCAGCAAACGATGCAAATGTCCATCGTGAGCATGGCGGCTCCAGACAGCGTAAACTCGACTCCCCAAATTGAGATAGCAAGTCTCGTGTGGAGCTTGCACCGTCGGGACTCTGGCAGGATGCTGTATCAGACGTCAGTTCTGGCCCTGCACTGCTGCTGTTGTTGTGGTTGTTGTTGTTATTGTTGTTGCGGTTGGGATTGGGATTGGGGTTGGGATTGGGATTGGGGGCATAGGGTTGAACGGAGATATGAGAATGGGGCTCGGCCGTGGTGTAGTAGGCCTGTGTTCTGGGGTTGTACTCTGTGCGCAGCTGTACGGTGGACTGCATGGTGATTTGGGTGTGCTGGGCAAAGCTGTGGCTGCTGTAGGAGGGCGGAGGGCTGTAGTGGCTGGATTCAGCAGAGGAGTCAGCATACGCCGCCTGCGGCTCCAACTGGATTACCCGGTTAGCGCAAGGACTAAAGGAAAGCAAGAGAAAGACAAAGAGCATTTCAGTAACACAAAAGCACCATGTAACAGTCGATTATGTGTGGAATTTCCTGCAATATCAATTTATATCGCAACAACACAGGAAATGATCCAGAAGAGCTGGAAAAAGTTTACCACAAAAGTGGGGATCTTAAGAATTCCTTCTTTTAAGATACCTCGATTAGGCCCAATTTTAAGCACCATATGTATCCTTAACGGAGAATCCAACCCCATAATGTATGCGACATGGTCATTTGTGAGGCGTCCCAATTTGCCTACTTACATTATGCACAAAAAAGATGTACTTGTTATTTGAAGAAATTAGATACTTCTGAGTGTCAAAGAAGATTATGCATGTTTTGGGACATACTATCACATCATAATTGCGTCTTTAACAGTTAACATGCATTAATTTTGTCACTGTTGAGGTATTCATATACACTGCATATTTCAGTTTATTTACACTCCTCAAGAATTCATCCTACCATATTGGAGGGAATCAAAGAAGCACATTGATCTGCCAGTCGTGGGTCATTCTTACAATGAACTCTCCTAATGTGTTTGACTAATGTATCTTTATAAAAAGTTTACAATGTTGTTGCAGATGAAATATAATTTTATCAGGTTACATACTGATTATTAATCATTCAAACCCTTTTATCTAAATCTCTCTACTTAACCATCCAACTACCACATCGTAGCTCCTTTTATTCGTGTCTGTAGCTCTGAACTGAATTCTTCGTCAAAGTCAATGGGCAGTACGCAAATTGAGATGCAGCATTAGAAAAAATAATCCAGGATATTGGACGAGGTAAGAGAAAGTGAATAAAAATGGTTTATTTGACCCAACATTTGCATGTGCCGTGCATTTTTATTATTATTAGATTATCATGCTGTTAGCTTAGCAACATGCTAACATCAGCCTCTACTGAAATCAAATGAAAGTTGAGTTTCCTGTGCGGGGTGTCATTTGTGGCTTAGGGTCAGTGACGGTTAGTATGCTGCCTTAGCAAATGCAGACTGCTAACTAGGCTTTGTAACAGAGCTTGTCTCTTTTCCATGATTTTCTATATGGATAGTGTGACCATAAGTGCCATTTTCCCTGGACGCGTCCTGGCCAGGATTTCTATATTGCCTAAAATATCTAGGTTTTGGCTTTGTTTGCGTGTGCAGACCGATCGGTGTATGACATCAAAGTACCATACAGACAGTTATGCTTTCGAAACGCTCTCAAAGTACTTTGATGTCAAACACTGATCGGTCTGAGCCGCACTGCTTTTAAGTCTAACACACCTAATACGTACACGTAATTGCATCACTTTGACCGTAGATCCCACCTTCTCACACGCCATGATTGGTCCATTATGTACAATGCTTGCATGTTATTGGTCAAACTACTTTTCGATCATTACCTTCAGCAAGCATGAAAACAGGAAAACAAAGCCAAAACAAATCCTGGCCAGGACGCGTCCTGGGAAAATGGCACGTATGTTCACCCTATATATGGATGGAGAGTTAGCGAGTGAGCTTCTGAACGTCCTTTAGATGTGGCAACTCGTTACTCTTGAGCACTCACGCAAATGCATGTAAATACAACCGCAATCAGCTTTCCAGTCGAGAGCAGTTAAAGTCGAGAGGCGAGTGAGCGTCAGTGACTAGAAAGCAAACGTTTCAACCATGGTGAAAGTTTAGGCATCAGGTTTAATTTCCTGCAGGAGTTTGGGGGCATGACTAAGAAGGTAAAGTATGTGCCTATAGCCCACTTGCTTTCTATTTCTCTCTCATCAGACACCAAGAATGTTGCAGCAAGCAGGAGAGGCAACAGCTTGCCTTATTTGAGGGCCCGGGGCCTCAGACAGAGATAAACATCAACAACACGCACACATATGCACACAAAGTATAGATGTTAGGGCAGGTTGATGCTTAATTGTGTTGTTAATACTGCACTCAGTGTCATAACAGGCTGTTGTATATATTATCTGAATGAACTTGTTTGGAAAGATCACAAAATCATATCACACCCTGACCTCAGAGAAAGATGGATGGTTGTATGGCAGTGTGAGTGTGTAAGCAGCACAACTGTTTTTAACATTGATAATATAAAGAAATGTTTCTTGCGCAGCAAATCAGCATATTAGACTCATTTCTGAAGGATCATGTGACATTGAAGACTGGAGTAATGACTGCTGAAAATTCAGCTTTGCAATCACAGAAGTACATTATATTTTTCAATTCAATTCAATTCTAGTTTATTTGTATAGTGCTTTTCATGATACAAATTGTTGCAAAGCAGCTTTACAGAAAATTAAGTTTCTACAGTATATTTAGTAGGAGCTTGTAAGTGATGACTATGTCAAATTGATGTACATATGGCAGAAATGTACGGTAAAATTCAGTTAATGATGTAATCAAACAGACGATGAATACTATTAACAGCAATGATTATAACTAAAATATTATATTTTAAAACATACTAAAACAAATCATCTTAAATAGTACTAATATTTCACAATATAATTGTTTTACTATATTTGTATAGATCCATATAGTAAATCCAACCCTGGTGAGCATGAGAGACTTTTTTCAAAAATATTTAAAAATCTTACCAACCCTCAACTTTTGAACAGTTGTGTATGTAGTGTTATTGTTTTTTTTTTTTTTACAATACTTAAGGGACAAAAACATCCCCATAAGGACATTTGAGGACTTCAAGGTAAAATGGTTCATAAATAAATTAAATCATGCTTTTCTTCTAAAAATGCAAAAAGTTTTCTATTAGGGTAGAGCTAGACTAAATGTGTATTAAATAGGGGTGCAACGGTTCTCAGTAAAAAATCGAACCGTACGGTTCTCCACACACGGTTCGGCATGCACTAGGACCACGGTTCAACTTAAATCTGACAATGCATCTGTAATATGGTTTGTTAGAGTTCGGCTAATGCATGTTTTAAAGTTAATTAAACGGCAACAACACGGAAATCACTCACTGCTCTTGATTGAATAACTTTTGTAACTTTAATAAGGAATCATTTTTAATTTATACAGTCAAATATGCAATGTAGTTTTACATTTGATTACTTTATTCAGTTTATGTACATAAAAACTGTTAGACCTACCTAAAAAACCTGAAAAGCACTGTTTATTTTATTTGTATCTTTGCTCTATTGCTTTTATTTGTGCTGTTGCTTGTAGTTAGATTATTTGCTCTTATTTTTTTTTATTTGACAATATAGATTTTTCCCTAAACATAGCACATACCGAACCGTGACTCTAAAACCGTGATACAAACCTAACCGAGAGTAAGTTGAACCGTTGCACCCCTAGTATTAAATATACTGGTACATTTCTGGAAAACTTTCTGAAAATTTCCAAAATTTACCAGAAATTTTCCACCCCTTTGCAACATATTTATGATGTGTCTTCTTTTAGCCAGGTAAATGTGTGCTACCTGACAAAGCAGCAGAAAATGTCGAAGCGGCGGTCCTCACGGCGGTACAGATCCATGCTGAGGATGGCAGGAAAGATGAGCAGCACCATAGCGAAGTTAAACACCACGACCACTGCCGCCTGAGAGAGAAATTGAAGATGTTAAGCACATATTCACACACACACACAAAATAATCACACACAGCGACACCCACACATCTGCAGAAGGTCTATGCCAAAACCGCAATGATCCCAACAAATTCAATTTTGGACAATTATCTTCTTCATAAGAGATGAATGACAAACAAATAAAAAACACAACTCTTGCCATCCCAAAATTAAATTTGGGCTCATCCAGTTTGGGTTAAGCCCACCTAAATTTCCAAATGTAAATCACATTGCTATCGAATTCATAATTCAATCCACACACTTCCATATGAAGAACTGGGAAAAATACTTTCTGTCTCTTTCGGAGCCGATATATCACAAGCTCACTAAAAAGACTTCACCAGGCCAAAAGTTCCTAAATAGTGCAGAGAAACAAACGAGTGATTTGAAATATTTAATTCTGATTCATTCAGTTTAAGCTCACAGAATATCTAATGTGAGAAGAGTAACTGGATGAAGAAAAGTGGCATGACAATGAAAGTTAGAAACCGAGAAAGACAGAAGGAAAGGGCAGATTGGAGCATGCCTGCCCTAGTTAGGGTGTATTTTTTTATGGGTGGAGGATGGAGTTATGTCAGACTGCCAGACCACCCAGAGAGCAGCTCAGCCCGACAGAGCCAAGACACAATGAGAGACACTCATGTATACAAAGCAACTCCAAAAAGTATTTGGACACTTCGTCCACACTTAAAAATGTGTGAATGTCACTGCATTAGACAACACAATATCAAATCTATCAACCCATGAGAGGAACAGATGAGAGAATGTGCGTGAGTGACTCTACAGTGAGATCTGTTAGGTCTGACATGTGCGCCCGCTTTTATGTGCCAAATGGGGAGGTGCCAAAAACAGTGCTAAACAGAGACAGAAGAATCGAAACACAACCTGAACAGGATTAAAACAGAGAAATAGCACCAGCCTGAAATGATAATCACAACCCATTTACTTCTGTAATGTAAATTAAAAATAAATAAATCAAAAATAACAAAATAAAATGTTATCAAAGATGGTGATTTACTATATTTTAATTAAGACAAAAACAATTTTCTTTGGGAATAATGAGCACTAATAATGTTACACTGCAATTTAAAAATGATTTGTTACAACAAACAGTTTTTCTTTTTATTATTTGATGAATAGCAATTTTAAAAGAACAGCATTTCTTTGAAATTGAATATATATGTAACATTATAAATGTCTTTACTGTTAGTTTGGATCAATTTAATGCATCCTTGATGAAAAAAATCTTAATGTCCCCAAACTTTTGAACGTTAGTATAAATTAGTACATTTGGTCAATTTTGATTATTTTGTTGACTTTAAAGTAAACTTAAATATTAGAGGTAATATAAATAGGAGGCAAAAACTATTTTTTTTTGTAATTTTTAAGCATTTTCCTCTGATGCCAAAAAAATTGACAAAAGCTTAAGTAAACATCTTTGGACACAAACATTAAAGTAAACATTTATACACATAACCAGAAGTAATTATCTGGACACAAAAGCTGAAGTAATCATTTGGACACTACAGCTGAAAATAGAGACTGTTACAGCAAAAAATAACACGTTTACAAAAGCAGTATCTCTCCGCTGTGTGTGTATGTGTGCATGGGTTCTCAGCGGTTTTGAAGACGAATGTTTTCAGGCACCATTGAACAGGTGCCAGTTGGAGAGCGCTGCAGTGAAAAACAGCGTGTGTGTGTGTGTCTGACAGACGTGTGAGACATCCATCCACAAGTCCTAATACTAGATCTACAGTGCTGTACGAGTGCGTGTGTGCGTGTTTAGGCATGAGCCACATCTTGCGTGTGGTCGGCAGGCTCATCCCACACATCATTTGTCTGAAAATATGCAATCATCGAACAGACACAAACACTATATAATCGTTTACACTTGCAGATATATAAAGCAATTCTACTTTTAGGATCAAAGGGTCCTGCAGAAGGTGAGGTATCTGTAGGGTTTAAGCTGAGATTTGAGAGAATGTGTTTGTTGAACAGAACAAGGCATCAGTGTGTAAATCTCTGCGTCTGCCTCCGTGCAGCTGTGCAGGTTATGTGGATGATGGCGAGGTTACTTCACCTAAAGTTCAAGGGTTAAGCAGCCCAAATGCTGAGTCTGTGTGTGTGTTTCATGTGAGGGTGATGAGGCTTCAGACATTTAATGGTGAACATTTTTTATCTAAATTTATTAAGACTGATTAAGCAGGTTCAAAGTAGGTATTCCGATTTCGTGGGCCATTTAAAAAGGGATAGTTCACCCCAAAATAAACTCCTGTCATAATTTATTCACACTCATGTTGTTACAAAGAGTAGAAAATCATCCATGCCATTACAATGAATGGGAAATGGAGCTATTAATCTTCACAAAGTTTGTGAAAGCACCATAAGTGCCCTAGCTTTTTACTATTCTGAATGATGACTGAAACCTTGTATAACAGGCACTTCTCGGGTTTATTGCCATCTTATGATACATCGCTTGTTGTATTCCTCAACTGTAAGTCGCTTTAGATAAAAGCCAAATGAATAAATGTAAATGTAATAGTGGTCCATATAACTCAATGTTCTATTTTCTAAGGTCTTCTGCAGGCTTACAATAGATTTGTGAGAGCTGAGACACAAATTAAAGTCATTATTGACTGAAAATCTCCATTTATCTCCATTCATGAGTAGTGAATCATGAAAAAAATTATTCACATCATTTATTTGAGTCACTAAAAAAGACCTAACTCAACTTCAACTTTCTTTATGAAGCTTGAAAGCTCTAGCTACTTTTGTGTCCAACAGAAGAAAAGGTCATACAGGTTTGAAACAACATTAGAGTGAGTAAATTATGACAGAATTTTCATTCAACTCTCCATTTAACCTGATTTAAGTCTGGAATAGGTTGCGGGCAGATCTCTTGCTTAGCCTCTTTCCTATGTCACTTCCACAGCCTTGCGGTCATAAATAAACCGCAGATGTGTGGAACAACAACCCGTACAACCCACCCCCACTCCCAGATTGAGTTACATGCCCACAGTCTGCACACTTAGGGGGCCGTACCACTAATCACATGCCATAGTGGGGGTTATGGGCCACGGCAGCTCGCTTAACCTGTCACATGCTCAGTTTGATGAATGAAATCAATAAAAGTTATGTGTAGAAATCTGGAGTCAATGAAGGTATGGAACACGCACAAAGAACAAAGAAAAGATTTCGGCAAACATCCATTAGTAATACAAACAAACACACAATTGCTACAGACAAGCAATCTGAACTGCATTCCTGTTCAAGAATATGAAAAAGAAACACACAAACCTGTAAGGAGAAAGCTCGGAGTGCTGGGATTGGAATAAGAGCAGCCATGAAAAATGCCGTCACATTACTGATGGAAGTCAAAGCTACACTAGCCCCAGTCCTCTTCAGACATTCACCAGTGCGGTCCTGAGGAAGAAAGACAGAAAAAAAAATATATAAATAAACACTACATTGTCATCAAATCAACAGCAAGAATATTATTCTTACCACTAGATTCCACTTATAATGTTAGTCAAGGTTTCTTGCACCAAACATATGAGCTTTTCAAGTCCATTTTCCACCTTCTCTCGGACCCTGAGTACTAAACTGGCTGTTTTTGATATTGTACCACTGTACATAAATGACTCTGGTATGATTGGCTAACCTATTCACATGTGAAATGAGCAGCAATGTTCACTACTACGGATAAGCATTTGTCATTTTTTCTTTTCGAGTACTGGAAAGCTCAGTAGAATGATTAATTGTTTACCTTTTTTATGTTCAGTGTGAACTTATTCAACACTGTGATATAACGCAAACATTTATTCACTTAATTCTTTTTCATCTGAATGTGGTGCTTTGTACAACTATATTCTCATTTCAGTCGAACTTGTATTTTTTGGAGAACAATAATAATCGAGTAACTGGAAATTATGATAAACAATGATTCATTTATAATAAATACATTAAAAAAAATTTATTTTGATATTAAATGATCAAATATGGGGAAGGTGTAGTTCTAGGGCAAAATCCAATTTCTAAAAAAATTATTTTCACTCTCAGCAGGCCTAGATTACATTTGTCAATAACGATACAGACTTTAGTAGAACAGAAATTTAGTCTGACAAAATTATTCACCTTTAATAAATCACTGCCAGACTCATAACAACATTTGTGAAGGTATAACATGCGTTTAAGCGCACTGATGGCAGTCATGGCCTAATGGTTAGAGAGTCGGACTTGTAACCCAAAAGGTTGTGGGGTCGAGTCTCAGGTCCGGCAGGGATTGTAGGTGGGGGGAGTGAATAACCAGCACTGAGGTGAGACCCTTGAGCAAGGCACCCCCAACTGCTCCCCGGGCGCCGCAGCAATATGGCTGCCCACTGCTCTGGGTGTGTGTTCACGGTGTGTGTGTTCACTACTGTGTGTGTGCACTTGGATGGGTTAAATGCAGAGCAAAAATTCAGAGTATGGGTCACCATACATGGCCACACGTCACTTCACACACTGATGTTTTCATCGAAGAGAGCTGGTAATCACACAACCAGCCATGACAAATTAATGAGCTCAACTTCTGCTGAAAAGCTTTCCTTTCTCGCCCCGCTATTATGTGGATTTTTAGAGAGGAAATTTTTTTTTTGATTCATTTCCCTCCCTTCTCCTTATCCCTCACTCACACAGAAATATTTTCCATCAAAGGCAGGACACATCCTTTTAAACACGATTGGCTCGCTGTCTTGTTAGGATAAACTCTCTCTCCTCATTTCAAAGCCATTCAGGGTTTGAGACGCATGAGAAACAGTTCCAAACCCCACCTCCACACACAGAGGTAGAGATGAGGAGAAGGAAAGAAAGAGGGAAAGTTGTTTTCTGGTATCTGAGGACATGCAGGACCACACACAGAGAGCTTTAAGACAAGAGGGCTCTGCGCTCTCTCTCCCTCCTCCTTCGGGGAACTGTTTACTTTCCACACTAAAGTGTCGCTGCACGCTGTGCAATCTCACATAAACACAAGCCTGAACTCAGCCCGTCTGCATAAGAGTCATCTAAATCACCTTTCATACACGACCACACGTAAACGCACACGAAAGCTAAACAAAGATACCCTTGACAGATGTATTAACGGAAACGTATACACAATCTACAAAAAAAAAAAAAAACTGATCAAACTAACAACTCAAATCCTCAATGCCTGTGCTAGTATTGGTTTTTACAGAAATTGATTAAAGATTAACACCTGGCAGTACCACGGTAAAGTGATGATATCAGATGGTAATACCACAGTACTTTGATATAATAGAAAGGTACGGATAAAACTAAGAAGAATAAAAAGATTGTACTGCAGTGTACCAGCATGGACCAATTAATGAACAAATGACTGTAATGAGCTGCTCTTTTAATGAATACGCAGTTCAGAAATATTCAGGAGTTACCGGTTTGAATAAGCAAGACAAATCCTTTACTGAATGAACTGAGTATGTCTCCAGTTATCTTTACTTTTAGTTATTTTCATCTTCAAACAAAGCAAGTGTTTAACACTTAAGGTTTGTGAAATGTAAATCTGTATCATTACTGACTGATTGTTCATATGTCATTTTGAAGTTAAAAGATGCTTAATAAAAAATTTAATAATGATAATAATCAGGGCCTGAATTTTGTTTTGGACAATGGGGGGAATTCCGCCTATAGGTGGCTCTTATGGGGTGGGGGGGGGGGGGGAGTAAGGGTATTTTTAGAAATTTTTTTAAACTACAATCTTCCAACCTAAACGTTTCGTCACCCAGTGTATTTGTGCTTTGGTTGTGTGGGTGGGGTGGGGGGGGGGCGGTCGGGCTGGGGGGGGGGTGTGGGGGGGGGGGGGGTGTGGGTGAGTAAGGGTATTTTTAGACATATTTTTAAACTACAATCTTCCAACCTAAACGTTTCGTCACCCAGTGTATTTGTGCTTTACAATTTATAATGGTGTTGATATTTCAACAGTGAGGAAGATACTTAAAAAGAACTTTGATTTCAAAATATATTGAATATATTTTAACTAAAAAAGACAAGTAAACAGTTAGTAATAAAATAAGAATAGATAAAGCAATGGCACAAACAAATACAATAACAAGATACAACTAAAATTAACTGTGCTTGAACTTTTTCAGGTAGTTAGAGCATGTTACACATGAAAGATGTTACACTACCGATGGTGTCCATGTTTGCTCATGTGCGTGCGATGTACCTGTGTGGTAGCGGCGTTAAAGGAGATGCCCAAAAGTGAGCAGAGTCCCAGTCCAGCGGCGACAGAAAGAGTGACCAGTAACACTCCGGCCAGCCCGACCGCCCCCTGAGACTTGGCGCAGTCCCACCGCAGCATGGTCAGACACGCATAGGCAAGCTGCACACAGATAACATAGCTATAGCGTTAATCTGACATTATCACGTTACCGCAGCGCTGTTCTCATGAGTGCGGTCATGGCACAGCAGGGTCAGGCATGCACTGGCAAGCTGCATGTAACATAACACTAAAGGCCTATACACACCAAGTCTGAATTTTCAGCACGAAAAACAAGATTTTAAAATGAAAAACATCTATCCCTACGAACTCCTTCACACAATATATCGTACTGCAGAGATCAGTCGATTGTTTGATTCTGAGGCTAGGTCAATTGTTGTTACGGGGCCACCACACCAAGAGGGGTTGATTCTGCAATGGACACCCATTCTAGCATAAACAGGCTGTGCTGTAAATGCTGCCACCTCGGAATAAATGAGCAAATCTGTTATTAAAGAATGCTAAAATGATTTTGCTAACACTTCAGAATAAGGTTCAATTTGTAAACATTACTTAATGCATTAGGTATCATGAACTAACAATGAATAGTATAGTATTATACAACATTTTTTAACTTTGCATAATGGCATACATGTACATATAAGTCAAGTTGTATAAAAACAAATGTATTATGCAAAACCGTGAATTAACAAATAGTACATTTATAAATTACCAACCAATAAATTAACAACCAAGGTAAATAAATGCTTTTAAAAAATGTTAATTTACTAAATTAAAGATTACCAAATAAAGTTTACTATGAATATACTATTGTTAATTTAAATTTGTTAATAGTACATTAATGTTAATTTATACATCTTGAAATATTATATGTAAAATATAAACATTAACATTATGCAACATTAATAAATGCTATAAAAATATTGTTAGTATATAACACCTATTGCATTAACTAATGTTAACAAATTAAACTATTAATAAATTCTGTAAGAATATATAAAATGTTCATTATAAAACTACTATAGTTGATTTGTTAATTCATGTTTCTTCATGCATGCATTCATTAATGTTAATTCATACAACTTGAAATGCTATATGTAGGTAATAATTAACATGCAAGATTGGTAAATGCTATTAAAATGTTTAGTAGTTAGCTCATGACGCCTCAATGTAAAGTGTTACTCTGATTACTAACAGAAAAAATGAAGGAGAAAAAAAAGCAATGCATTTGGTTGCGACAGGACTGAAATACCTCCAGAAGTCATGTTTTCGATGCAACAACGTAAAACATCTAATACATGTGAAGGGTTTAGCGCACACATTTCTACACTGTCCCATCGTAACCTTTCCTGACCTTACAGATGTGCCCCGTTTTTCCAAGCTCACACTTAACCTGAGCGTTTAAAGTATGAAGAAGCGAAGAAAAGGGAAGTCAATGCCTTTGAAGGACTGCACTTAAATAGCTGGGTCCTACCCTCAAGAGACACAGCCCCTTTGGAATGTATGTATTACTTATGACTCAAGATGAATGCCTTTACACTGCATGAGTGCATGAATGTGAGTGTATGTTCCAGGAAACACAACGCTGGGCTGGAGGAATGAATTGGGCCTCCTAAACGGTTCCTAACAAGATCCAGTTTTAAGCAAAGTAAAACTTGATGCAAGAATGAATTACTACAAATACTACCGCAGAAACAATCATTGTAAATATGTCCACTAAAGTAGACTGCAGTCTGGACATTCACAGAGCACCTTTACATCCATTCCGTGAGATGATCCGTGGTGAAAGACGTGCATTTACCTCAGAGTATCTCCTCTGCCAGGCCTCTAGTATGGCAGCTGCTTTGTCCTCGTTCCAGTTGATGTGCGAGACCCCCTCGTAGCCCTTCAAGTGCTCGTACATCTGCTTTGGGGTCATGAGCTGGAACATGGTCTGAAGGGCCTGTGCACTGTGAGGAAGAGTAGAGTGAAAAGGTGATCTGAACATACAGTATAAACTGACCAAGTGTTTCATTGCTGAACAGATGTGAGATTGGAATAAGTGTGTTCCAAAATTGTTCCAATATTGAAGCATATGCGAAAAGTCCCCAGATGGTCTACTATTTCTGGTAGCAATTTTATGACATGGTGTCCCAAAACTTACTACTGCTACAAACTCAAAAGAATCTACTTTTTTTTCACACAAAAAAAAGTTTTGATATTTTCAGGTTGAAGCTTGAAACATAAATTCTCAGAAAATGTATTTATTACCAATATACTGAACCATCTGTTTATATGGTTCTAATCCCCTGACGTTGTAGGCAACAGTCTGAATCAGTCCGAATCAACTTAATTGACCCAAGACTCTTTACTCTGAATCATGAACTGAATCAGCTCATATCCTCAGTGAATCAACTCGTTATGTCTGTCTCGAAAAATGCCATTATATACTTAGTGAAAGCAATATTAAAATGCTAATTTTTAAGGTTATTAAAAGTTTCTGAATTTGTTATTATAAATATTTTTTAATAAAACAAAATGCTGTAGAACACTTTATTGGTTAACGTTTAGCGTTTCTTTTCTTGGGGGTGATGATGGCTGCTGCAAAAACAAAATTCTACAGCAAACACTGTCTTGACCTTGTCTGTCACTACTTGGGGATAAAAACCTTGAAAAGAACCACTAACATGCTGCCTGTCACTTTGCTCCACAGATGAGCTAAAACCGGCCCAACTGTCATTTTTAAGGTTATTAAAAGTTTCTGAATTTGTTATTATAAATATTTTTTAATTAAAACAAAATGCTGTAGAACACTTTATTGGTTAACGTTTAGCGTTTCTTTTCTTGGGGGTGATGATGGCTGCTGCAAAAACAAAATTCTACAGCAAACACTGTCTTGACCTTGTCTGTCACTACTTGGGGATAAAAACCTTGAAAAGAACCACTAACATGCTGCCTGTCACTTTGCTCCACAGATGAGCTAAAACCGGCCCAACTGTAGAGTACAGACTCCCTCAAGTGGACTTGTCAACCTACTATTGTTCAATGAACACTTCTTGAAACAAAAACCCTTGACGTTCTCTTTTCAGAAAACCATGGTTTTCAGAGTGAAAAGATTAATAGAAATCACAGTGGACGATTCCAAAGCCACTAGAGAATATTTTCAGTATTAACATTTTTGGGAGGTATGACAATGTTCTTTCATAATGAGGATGCTGAATTCTGTCCCCACTCAAGCTTAAAGAGGTCTGGGGAAAAAAATGTTTCGCTCTAGGAGTTAAAGGTGTGGGCTTCCTTCAGTCTGTGAGAATGAATACTAATATGCAGTTTACTAATGATTACAATCTGCCAAGAAAGAAACAAAACACAAGCCTTACACACTGTACGTGTGAGTGTGTACGAGAGAGGGAAAGACAAAGTGATCTTTTATCCACTGCCACGTAATGCCCAAAAATTGTCAAACTGTGACAAACTTAAAGACACACTTCATTTTTTCCTTTCTCACTCTTCTATGGTTTTCACAATAATTTATTCCCTTTACAAGTAAAATACATTAAAGGATGTGTTATGCACATAAAGATTATGCTTTTTCACTTTTTTAATTTTAGTCAGTGTGTAGTGTGTATGTTTGGGCATAAAAAAGATCTAGAAAGTTACAAATCTCAAAGTCCACTCCAAAGGGAGATATTTCGTTTTTTAAAAATCCATTTTCAAGAACTACAACAAACGACTCGTTTGGACTACAGCGTTTGTTTTCCGGGCTTTGTGATATCACAAAGCGGCTCATTGGAATATCATTACAAAGAATTCCCGCCTACAGAAATTGGAATGGTTGGGGGGTGGGGAGGGGCGAGGTTGTGGTTAGAACGCTAGGTTGAGTGAGCGCATCAGACGAGACGACGAAGAAGAAATGCTGCAGCAGAGTTTGGCAGAGAGAGAAGAAGAGCAGCTGCAGTGCTGTAGCTTCAAATTTTCGGCATGTCTAGAACAATTCTTACAAGTATAACACGACGTAGCTGGGCGCCGCGGACAAATGCTGAACGGCACCACCGGTGTGCCTACACACCGGTGGCATAAAGTATGATATATACTCAAAATCCAACACTTTTTTTTTTTTTTGCAAAATATAACAAGAGGTCACTTCCTTCCATTCCACTTAAACATGTCCATTCATGCTAAGCTTACTTGTAATACAAACTTTATGAACAAATTCTGCCTCCTGAGCGCAATAACGTCGCTCAGGGTTCGCAAACGTCGCGTATATGTGAATATTATACAAGAAAATGTCTCTTTATGGTCGCTGTGCGTGTGATGTGCTGTGCGAATTTTAAAGACGTGCGCTTTCGGTGTGCAACCGCCTGAAACGCAGTTTTTTTCACCTCCGTGCCCAAACGTCTTTGTTTGGGTTTCCGAAAGCGGATGACGGAAGTCTAAACTGTTTGCCAATCACAACTCACTGGGACAGCTAACCAATCACAACACATTTTGTTTTTCAGAAGGCGAACCTTCATCAAAGCCGGAACTAATCGAGCCGTTTGTGCCAGGCTGGGGAGAAAGGTATTTTAATAATGTAAATTATATGAAAAATAATGCGTTTTTCAAACCACCAAAGCATGAGAGCATGTTCTAGTACACCCCCAAAACAAAGACCCCTTTAAGATAAATCAATTTCTCTAAATGCCGTCAGCGTTAAAACCCTAAAGTTGTCTCTTACCTCAGAAGTCTGCCACAAGCAGGAACTAATCGAGCCGTTTGTGCCAGGCTGGGGAGAAAGGTATTTTAATAATGTAAATTATATGAAAAATAATGCGTTTTTCAAACCACCAAAGCATGAGAGCATGTTCTAGTACACCCCCAAAACAAAGACCCCTTTAAGATAAATCAATTTCTCTAAATGCCGTCAGCGTTAAAACCCTAAAGTTGTCTCTTACCTCTGAAGTCTGATTATACTGCCGTGCCGGGTGATCCCGCTCAGGGCCTGGCATCTCCCCACAACTAACAGCCCAACGCAGCAGTTTCACAAACCTCCCATACTTGTCTCAGTTGGTTTTTTCAGCCCCCTCTTTCTCTTGCTGCATCGTTACATGGTCTCCCGTCCCGCCCGTATGTTTGACTCTATCCTCAAAAGGCCTTCCTCGCACCGAGTTCACCCTCCCACTTTCTGTCCACTTCCATGGCTCCACTGACTGACTCTCTAAGCCGCTCCGTCTTTCCGTCCCTGCACCATCTTTCTCTCATTTCTCCCTCTTTCTATCATACTTTCCTTTTTTCTGTATGTTTCCTTCTGATCGCCCCTCTCTCTTTCTCTTCTGGCAGGCCTGTAGCGGTTCAGACCACATTGTATGTGCCTAACCAGGCTTGAGTCATTATTCCAAGTCCCCCAACCAGAACACAGTAAAATCCTTATTTACCATCCATGAAGGAGGGAAAGAGGGAGTGGGGAGGAGGGCAGAAAAACTTTTGCAGACTTGGTGGTTGTCTACTGAGTGTAACTGTTGCAAGGAGCCATTAGCAGCAGAAGTGGAACAATTGAGTGAGGCTTTGAGCGGTTCAGCATCACAATGAAGGCCTTCAGAAAACACCACAGGAGACTGTGGAGCACCACTTAGCACAGTATTTAATCATAATATATTTAATTGATTCATTTAACTTTTTTTTTTTTTATATATTCTTCATGGAACATATACAGATTATATTATCGTCAAACTGAACCAAAATACACAGGGAAATGCAAAAACAAAACTTGATTTAATAATCAAACATACTTCCTGCACTTTATGGACTTAATCTTACATGCATAGTGTAAGTGTTTTTTGCCATTTTTTGCTGCTTTCTGTTTAACTCGTAGTTAATATTTCACTTGCTGAGTTTCACTGATTATCGAATTTCACCATACAGAGACTAAAAATGATTTAAATCACATTAAACATCTTGCCTGAATTAAGTTTTTAAAGAGGTCATTTATTAAATAAACACTATAAAATCATCTTTTCACCACCTCTCTTGGTTGGAAGGAAAAACTTTTTCCTTTAAATTTAGTTTGCTTGTTGGCCTTCCTCGCACCGAGTTCACCCTCCCACTTTCTGTCCACTTCCACGGCTCCACTGACTGACTCTCTAAGCCGCTCCGCCTTTCCGTCCCTGCACCATCTTTCTCTCATTTCTCCCTCTTTCTATCATACTTTCCTTTTTTCTGTATGTTTCCTTCTGATCGCCCCTCTCTCTTTCTCTTCTGGCAGACCTGCAGCGGTTCAGACCACATTGTATGTGCCTAACCAGGCTTGAGTCATTATTCCAAGTCCCCCAACCAGAACACAGTAAAATCCTTATTTACCATCCATGAAGGAGGGAAAGAGGGAGTGGGGAGGAGGGCAGAAAAACTTTTGCAGAGTTGGTGGTTGTCTACTGAGTGTAACTGTTGCAAGGAGCCATTAGCAGCAGAAGTGGAACAATTGTGTGAGGCTTTGAGCGGTTCAGCATCACAATGAAGGCCTTCAGAAAACACCACAGGAGACTGTGGAGCACCACTTAGCACAGTATTTAATCATGATATATTTAATTGATTCATTTAACTTTTTTTTTTATTTATATTCTTCATGGAACATATACAGATTATATTATCGAAAAAACTGAACCAAAATACACAGGGAAATGCAAAAACAAAACTTGATTTAATAATCAAACATACTTCCTGCACTTTATGGACTTAATCTTACATGCATAGTGTAAGTGTTTTTTGCCATTTTTTGCTGCTTTCTGTTTAACTCGTAGTTAATATTTCACTTGCTGAGTTTCACTGATTATCGAATTTCACCATACAGAGACTAAAAATGATTTAAATCACATTAAACATCTTGCCTGAATTAAGTTTTTAAAGAGGTCATTTATTAAATAAACACTATAAAATCATCTTTTCACCACCTCTCTTGGTTGGAAGGAAAAACTTTTTCCTTTAAATTTAGTTTGCTTGT